GGGGGGGTGGTGCTAATTATTATGCAATCAAAATGCCACCTCCTATCTAGTTATCTCGCTGTCTCGTGCCGCTGTGCATTGGGGCGCATGAAGAAGTCGGTTCCGCTCACATTTCATATTGTCTGACTAGGAAACGTTCTAAATTCTCAAAGATTCTGAATAGGGACCTATGTAAGTATTGATAGTTCCGAGCGCTTATTCCAATTCACTTATCAACTTTCAGCGAGTAGACTTTGAGCGCTCACAACTTTCTCTGTAAACTCATTTACCATGATTTATGATCGCAAACATCCCAAGTCCGACCACTATTCCACAAGTTTGGCGAGTTAAGGGCAGAAGTCAAGCCTCGGACCGGGGCAAACCCATATTCGTGCTTCCCATCATGCGCTTAATACCAACAGGAAGCCAGTTTGTGCTTACCTTCTCAATGGCTTGTAAGCCATAGCTTAAGAGCACTGCACAACGTGTTGAACGGTGAAGCTGGAACTTGTTTTTGTTTTAATCAGTTTTGGCTTGATGCACTTGTCAAGTGCTGCTATTTAGCCGCAGTACGCGAACAGCAAAGGACAAGGCGAATGTAAGCGGTGTTTCGCTAGTGTTAGGGGTAAGGAGAACGGTGCTGGGGTAGCACAAAACGAGTTCCGTGCAATTGCAACTTTTCGCCCAGAACTCGCCAACTTTGAGAAACTTCAGCACCGCGCGCTGCGCGAAGTAACAGCAGATAACAAGAACATGAAGTCCATAAATACACCCAAGTCTCTACTCAGAGTTCCGCAAATTTTTCTTTATTGAAAAGTTGGCAGGTCTCAACTAATGTCTTGTCACGCTTCATACCGTTCGTGACTCCCCACCGAACAGGAAATTCCACACATCAATTCCGTTTGCTGAAAAAAAAACAGGATAATTTCGATTCAGAACTGCTCAAATCGATCCAGAGAAGCAAGAGATTGTTGTTCCGCGACGATTCTGAAGATGGAGGTAGTCATGATTCTGGAGCGGTCGATGGTCATAACTCTGAAGCTAATCGTGACTCTGGATGTGAAAATAGTCATGAAGGAGTGGAAGAAAACCCGGATGCGATGGGAAACAATGGTAGAGTCAAAAAGTTTTCCGATTCTAATCTCCCAATAATTAAGCTCATGAAATGTTGTGAGGTGATGCTAGTGAAAGTCAGTCACCCGGACCAATTTCAGAAGAATCTGACCTAGATGTCTACGAAGAAGACGTAGCTGAAGACAAGGTTTACTGCTACTGTCACCGAGTCAGTGCTCCATGATATCAGGTTGACAAATAAGTAATTGCGTATGTTTCGAGATAACATGATCATATTCTTTTCGAAAAAAATACTTACTCAGCAATATATTGATCATACCATAGCAGGTTATCTGGGTTGCAAAGGCCAATCACAACGAAATAGGATTGGTCACCCATCCAGGACGAATGTCTGAAGTACTCAGAAAAATACGCACTTACTTAACTGTCGGAGTTATTTATGAGCCTTCTAGGACATTCTTTCTATGAATGATCTTATTAACATTGTTGTGGTATATTTTTAGGGAAGTTACGGGTTTATGGTTGCGTGCGATGGGCTAAAATGCAGATACGGTGGTTGGTTCCATCTACGTTGCACTGGGCTTGCCAAAGTTCCCGAAGGTACGCTAAAAAGTTTTCTCTTCAAATTTCACAACGATATTTTGTTTCATATGTCGCTAGGCGCCTGTACAGAAAAGAAAAAAAAAATCGGAACGGGCACACGGCGCGTCGCGGGTGTATGTGACGGGTGAGGATTCGCGTATTGAAACTGAATCTTCCTTTCTATGGTGCCGCTGTTTCACTGTGTTAGCATTGTTCGCATGCCGGCTATTGCGTCGGGACCCTTCATCTTCGAGACCTCCCAGGAATCAACATCAGCACTTGTGGAGCTCCAAGTTTCTCGCATCGATTGCACGCTTCCGATATGAGATTTCGTGTAACAAAAAAAAAACAGGTCGTCATCGTAGTCATTCTGAGTGTGGGTTAGTTCTGGGATCTCAGCAGCGTCTCCTGAGAAGTCCCACCCATAGCGACCGTATTTGATCCCCTTAGGTTCAGGGGAATAAGGCACATTGCTAGCTGACCGCAGCATCCTAGTGTAAGCGAGGACTTATTTGTTGAGTACGACTCCGCGTCGCCTTTCAGCACTTCCCAGTCCTCGGATACAAGTTTTTGACTGATTGCTAATTCATGCCAGCCCTACTCGCATACTCTCCACACAAGCATGAGTGCTTATGTACTCATCGTAGCTGGAACATGGAGTACTTACAATGAATTCACACGACTTAGTTCGTTTCCGCAAGCCTGCGTCATTCCGTAGCCTCACCACCATGAGCTATAGGTATTTTAGTGAAAGAGAATTCTTAGCGAAGGATATCCGTAAAAAACTCAATGTTACTGAAGCCGTTTTTCGGAGTATAATCCTATCGTTCAATTCCAATTCGTACTGGCTTCTTGCCCATGATCATATATCCTATATTCTGTATTACGCACTCCCTTCTGATTTGAGCTAAAATGTCCGACTCTCCCCGCTAGCTCTGAATCATGTCGCAGCAGCAATGAATGATTGAACCAGTCGGATCGCTCGGCTAACGCCGGGCTCTCCTCCTTGTTGTGTTGAAGTTGATCTGCCGCCTACACTCTCCCAAGCTCTAAAACTCTGGTTCAAGGAAAAAAGAGCTGTTGATTTCAAGCGAAACACATACCGACACATTTTGTGCCTTGGGCCCATTCTTTCTTATTCCAACTTGACTACTTGATCCCGTTCAGCTACCTTCTACTACCTGCCATCAGTGCCTCAAATCTGCCACCTACACTCGTTCAAAATTAGAACACCCAGGTCAAAATTAGCAATTTTTGCGTGCGTCCCACCTCCTGTCAATCATGCCACCTCATATCAGCATTCCCATACTGCCATCTTAATTCCTAGCAAATTTGAATGCATTGGGTCCAAACTGTCAACTTTCGAGCACGCCCCGCCCGGAGTCGAGAATTGTCACCTACAATTAGTGTTCCCACCTTGTCAGTCCTGCCATCTGCACCCTAATAAGTTTGAACACGCTGGATGCACGCTTAACTACTACACCAGACTTCAGAATTTTCACTGAAGCTCCGCCCATCATGGGAGGAGCCCGGTCCTGCCCGATAACATAAGTGTTCCCACCCTGCCGCCTATACTCCTTCCGAATTTGAAGGTGCACGAGCAAGTGTGAAACTTAGCTCAGACTCCGCCCATTGTGGGCGGGGTCTGGTCTAGCCACCCACCATAAGTATTCCCATTCTGTCATCTGTACACCTACCAGATTTGCACACTCTAGGTGCAACGGAAACATTAGTTGTGAATTTTTGCTAAAACCCCGCCCACTGTGGGCGAAGTCTGTTCCTGTCACCTTTGGTAAGTGTTCTAAGTCTGCCGTCTGTACTCTTACCAAGTTTGAGTCCTCTAGGATCACGGGGACAGGAGTTATGAATTTTCGCTCAAACACTTATTTTTCACAAACCTCGCCCCCTTTGATCGGAGTCCGATCCTGCTACCCACTGAAAGTGTTCCCATCCTGTCGGCTGTACTCCTACCAAATTTGAACGCTTTAGGCTCACGGGGACAGGTTTTATGAATTTCCGGTCAGACACACACACACACATACACAAGCACACCAACAGACACACTTAGCCGATTATATAAGTAGGACACAATGCCATCAACAGTTAGATGACTCTTTCACAGAATCAAATCAAGATTAACTTCGTTCGTTCTGCATCTCAGGCAACTGCAGGTGCGATGGATGTTAGAGTACACCTTTTTATGAACTTGTTAATCAAACATCGGGCTTCGATTGAGGGCTTGGACTGAGTGTCATGAATATTTGTGACCTGCGGAAACCATACAGGTGCATTCGCCTACCCTACATGAATAGTCAGTTAGTGCAAACCCGACAAGACGAAAGTCGGTTTAACTCATCAATCACGCGCATCATCAATAAATTGTTAGGGCTTTAGGTCGAGGACCGGATAAGATCAGTAAAACTCCCTACTACGGAGACTAATCAGCTCGTGAACGTCGTCCAGAAGCCCGTCGAGAAACCATATTGGAACTCGCCGACAGAACAGAGTCAGCAGTCCGTGCTGCCAGGTGTTCATGGGGTGCTTGACCACCACTACCACCGGCTTCATCACTATTACATAGGGTCAACATAATAAGTATAACTCTTCACATCATCAGTGTCAGGTTGAACTCTAAGGCTGGTTGAAGTTTGACATTACGATTCAATTTCAAAGTGTATGACTGGAGTAAAAGAGGCGAAACAACACCTCCCTAGGACACTCCACTAGGGCAATGAGCGATGCTTCGCTTAGATCGACATAAACGATGTCAACAGATTTCTCTTGATTCGAGCGAGATGTCATCAAACATGGTATAACGTAGACTGATGGTCGTGCTTGCCTCTGGAACGAATCCATGGCAATAACCAGAGCCCTTCCAAACTTCCGGTGCTTCACCCAACATGAAAGAAACGTTGAAGTTAGGTGCCAGGCCTGAAAGAGATGAACTACATTCAACGAAGGCTCATGGAGCTACATCATCATAAGATTTGGTATTGGATGGCTAGAGACGCTTGAGAACTTTAGAAATGCCAGAGAGGTGAAAATAGATCCAGATACAGGTAAACGGGACAGAAGTGACAACATTACCGGCTCATCAGTAGCCCTCCTCAGATTCGAGTGGACACTTGCGAAGAAAGTTCTTGTACAATAGATTCTCGGCATCAGTATAGGGCTTACTACACTTTCACCTCTAATAGAAGGAAGCCGAGTCGGTTTTTCTATTTCCGATGTCGGCATGAGGAGACCTTATGTTTGGTTTCGCTATTAGACTAATTTTAAAATGAAATGAAAAATTTGAAAATGAAAATTTTTCGAAACAATGATTAATATTGCATATTTTTCTGTGGCCCGCATTGCTCAATTCCTCCCTCCACAACCGTGCAGAAAAGAATCAATTGTTGCACACGGATCATTTTACACAAGAACACATCAAAACTCACGATGAATTACGGCAGATCAATCAGCACTTCCCATTGCACTATTGATTGTCCTGACATATGATGCCTTCTTCTCTTGTTATTACCGCAGCTGTAGTTGAAGCTGAAACGGCTTTGGGCCTCGTTTTTTCCTGAATGTCCGATTGAAACCCTCTGCGGTGATAAGTTGATGATGTGTACCTGGTTTTCAGTGCCTCACGCTTCTCAAATCCTCAAGTTTCTGAAAAACCCCTAATTTCGAAGGTTGTGAAGTTTTTGGATTGGGGCAGGCGAGTACAAAGAGGTTCCATACCCAACATTGGCAGTTCTACAAATGTTGCCTGCCAGACGTTTGTGCGAGACAACTCGCTCGAGCGGGTCAATTCATTCAGACCGAACAAGCAAACCAATAGGGGTAGGAGCTCTTAACCCCATATGAATGGTAGGACGCCAGAAATACATAAATAACAAATGACATGAGTGTATATTTGGACTTGAGGCGGTTGACAGTTTCGTCTGCGTTTGTAGAGAAACAGCTTTTACCACCTACTTATTTCGCCTGTCGCCCCTATCATAATCAATGAGCTCGAGCGGACATTAGTAATGTTTACATTCGTACCAGTCTAGTCCAGTGGGTCGTTGCTCGAAAGACAGAATTATACCGTTTCTTCCGTTCGGCGTTTCCGCGAGAAAGACTGACTGTTGGTCTGACGGCTGTCCTAGCGTTTAGTTGATTGCTCTAAGGATCCAGTTAGTGTCACCCTGGTTCGGTGATCATCACAAAATCGCATGGCTTTAGATTTTGATTCCTTGGCGTAGGCAGTGGCATCGGGTCCTTGTTCCTAGCGGAGCTCGTGCCTTCGGTTCTCATTCTGCACTTGCGCGTATCATCAGAACGTAAACATATCCTCTTCCATATCGAATGAATCTGACTGCATGATCATCGTGCCTGCAGGGACAGGAAGAACCACAGTTTAAAAAGGGCGACCCGTCGCCGGATGTTCTTTGTTTCTTTTTCACAACACTGGAGAGGCGGCATATACGCAATTGTTTCAACAACCTGTTTGCTTCGCGCATTTTTTGGCTTGTTCCATCAGTGTTGAATTTTCGCTCGTATCGGCTCCAAGCGGTCTCTATTTGTGTTGTGTGTGTTTCAGGTCAAAAACCGTTCATAGTCATATGGTTCGTATGCAGAAATATTCTGTTCCCAACAATTTCTGTTTCTATTAGGCCCCGTCATTGAAATCTGTTGGTCTTTCTCTCAGAGTGCCTTTCTCTTGCCTCACATTAAGCTTTCTGTACAAGCCTCTGAATTGAGGAAGGTAATGGATTATGCTCTCATTCAGTGGTACTCTTTTCAGTTTTCGACAGCTGGCTCTGCAAATCGTGCATCCGTAAGAAAGGGCCACGTTTCGAATATAGTAGCAGAGTCATCAAGACCGAACCTGAAGACGACGGCGAATACGGCGTGGGACCTCCAGCGACTGTCACAGAGGCTCCTACAGAAGTGCTTCCTGGAAATCTGAGTCAGGCTCCCACTAATGCTTCCTTCGAACAGTGCGGAGTTACTGGCACAGTTGAGTGCAACGAAATGGATGAACATGGGATTCAATTCATCGGGATATTTGAAGACCGTCCTTTTATAGACCGAGTGATAAAACAGGAGGTTCCAGATGATTACGATGATGTACAGATACAGGATAACAGTTCAAGCGGGTTGATATTGAGAGAAGAAGCTGAAGTCATTGAACCGAGAAAAGCTTTGAGACAAGCTGAACGAGATCACGATGGTGCACCCGCGGAATCGACGATCTTCGGGCTAAGGAGTCGTCGAGGGAAAAGATCCCGACAGATTGAATAGGGAAGGTTTCATGGTCAGTTCATGAACTTTGTTTACAGTAATGAAGGTACTATGAAAGACTGCGAGATTAATAGCTTACAGAGCTCTTGGAGGCGACGACGGTGATGAGGATTTTTGCTTTCCTCCTATGAACTTCTTGAATGAATGGAATGGATTTGTGTAGAAGTTATGTTTTCATTTTCTGCTGCCTTGAAACTTTCTTTTTTATCTTTTTCGTTCATATTAAATTCCAAGTTCTCTCATCTTGAAACCTCGACATTTCTGTTGTACATGAAATTGTTAATTTTGCTCCTGCCTCGAGGTTGTAAGGTGGGAATCTTTATTGTGGCCAACGCTTCGACGGACTCGTCATTTTCAAAGGCCTGAAAATGGTACAAAGCTTGCTGATTGCACACTACCCCATCAGGCGCCTCCTCAGCTCTACCATTTATGACCTCCTATCAGGAATGCACGAAAAATGCCCGAAATTAAAAAGATAAGCATACTAATCGTGTAGTGTAGTGCTACACTTCGCGGTAGGAGTGAGATGAGCTTATCTTTTTAACCTCGGGCATTTTTCGTGCATTCCTGATAGAAGGTCAGAAATGCTAGAGCGGAGGAGGCGCTTGGTGGGGTAGTGTGCAATCAGCAAGCTTTGAACCATTTTCAAGCCTTTGAAAACGACGAGTCCGTCGAAACGTTGGCCAGAATAAAGATTCCTACCTAACAACCTCGATGCAGGAGCAAAATTAACAATTTTTCGTTTATATCTGAACCAAAGACGATATGGAGGTTTTTCTCGTAGTTCTCTTATGTGTGTGCTGCTGATTCTGCTAGGTGTTGTTCATGCCAATCAATGTGGCAAAGCTTTTGTACCCGGCTATAGGAGCACATCCAAGGAAAAGTCGTATGAACTTTGATGACTCCTCCCGTGTGCACATTCTAGAGGAACCACTCATTTGTCATCTGATGAGGTGGTGTTTCTTTGGTAATTATGAAGTCGTTCCCATATATGACCTTCTAGAGAAGCTTTTTTCGGTTGCATTTTGTTTTGTATGTTGTGTCTTTTTGAATAAGCTGGTTCTGTTTCTATTCGTGTGAAGATATCTTTATAAAGAGGTAGTATTTCAAGCATTGGTCAAACACGTGGAGGCGTATTTAACCAACAAATTTGAGTTGTAAAGGCTAGCATGTGTAAAATGCGGTGATCGGATACTCCCAGAGATTTCGAGAAGCTCTGATTGTCTCTGTTGAAAGGAAAACTTGGTTGGCTTAGCAGTTTCCCATCCGAGGTTCATCAAATTGTTATACATCTGTCAAAACGTAATAGAAAAAGTTTTGCCATTGCCTCTGCACGCTTTCGTGAAATGTATAAGTGCTCACAGAACTATCGATAAGCAGAGAAGGCATTTGGAGTTGGAACAAGACGGATTTGATCGTCCCGTGACTTTGTTGCACAGTAACCCGAAACACATACTCAGGGGTCTCCAAACACCCATCACATATACGACGCAATAGAAAGGTGCCCCGGGTGAAGCCCACGGGGGTGGGTCGTGGAATGTTAGGGGGTTACTGTATCACACGTTCACGGGACGTTAAAATCCCTCATATTAACACCTCCCATATATTTTTATTAGTATAAGCAAAAGAACATATCAGTACATTTCAATGGTAAGAAAAGTTGATCAGACATCAGAATCCAAACATCAAAAGTAGTACAGTGTTCAACTACCAGTAGAGATCATAACAATGCAACTACATAGACAAACAATCGGTATTGACAAAAACAGGGCTCGCTATACTGCTTTGTTCCTTTTAAGCAAGCAGAACATACAGCGTTCTTCCTAATGGAACAATCCATTTGGTCCCAAGTATTACAAAAGGCACAACATAACCGGTAAACCCTACTACCTCACCGTTTACGGGAGCTTCCCAAAGCAAGTGTTACAAAAGAACAATGGAGCAGAACTGGAGCAATTTCTTTCGGTCTTTCATTTTTCGTTCCCTTTTTCCCGATAATCGTTCCTACTGAGAAGATAAAACCTGACTTGTTGCTTCTAGCAAGGAAGAATTTCGAAAGAAGGAGCTTGGAAAGACTCACCGTCCGCGCTCTAGTACAAACAGTGCTCCGCATTGAGAACTAGGGTAGCTGTATAACACATTCACGGGACGACTGAATCCGTCTTCGTATTGTGAGTTGAAGCACTGTACCGCTGAAGGGAACAAACTGCGATCCAATGGTGTGTGAACTTTGTACGATCGCTTCAGCTCACTTTGCACTTAGGCGCGAAGTGACCTAATTACGTGTGAAACCTCCATGGTCATTGTACTAACTGCCCATCTTTATCAATAGAGTGAGATGTTACTAACGTATGAATAGTGACAGTAAGAAAGTAGGAGAAAGAACGTGAAGAGTTCTATCAAAGTAGGTTTTTGAGCAGGGAATGTTCCGAAATCACTAGTTGAAAGAATTCCGTTTCCGTTCAGAATGAATGGTTTCGATATATTCTTTATTTTAGAGGCATACATTGTTCCCATATTGTTCATCAAGCTCCACTGGTTCCGTTTTCTTATACTTTACTTATATCTACTTTTCGAGATCTATGTTCATAATAGAACTAGCCTTCACAAGAATGAGTGACAACATGCTAGTTCAACATATTAACCATAGGCAGAACTTGACATGAGCATCTCTTGAGTTGAGACCACAGGCATGACCTGGCGGCGTCATAAATGTGCAATCAAGTAGGTAACTTAAGTTCTGCCTTTGGCGCGGTCGCTCTTTCACCCCCCGAGCTTGAGTACCGCCATGGGCCCCCTAAGGTCCAGTGGCGATACGGTATCTGAGGACCGCCCACATATTGTGTATATAAACCCCATGAATGTATTATAATGTTCGATCTTTGTACTAAGCGTCGTAATAAACCTTTGTTACACGTCCTAGTACAATCTTCCTGTGGGCTTTCTAGATGTATTTCTATTAAGGAAAGCAGGAAGATTTATTGAACACCGAATTTTGTATTCAAACTGTATCAAAAACAAGCCGCGAAAAAATCCGCAATAATTATGCATCAACCTATAATAATATATTGAATTTATTCATTCTGCACGCATATAAAACTTGAAACTAGCGATGTTGCAATTTCTCCTGTTCGTAAACTCGACCGATTCATTTAAATACCAGGTCGGTATGGCAAATCGATGTATTAGCCAACATACCCATACCGTAAAATGCCAGGTGCCAGCACTTGAAAGGTTCCATGACTGAGGGGAGCCAAGTTGTGAATCAAGGGTGCATGATCAGGCAGGCTTCTAGATACTGTCGCCAATCTTGAACTCTCTCTCAGCCCAGACCATCCAAGTGAGCGGAGCCCAGCTCAAAGACACAGTTCACGATAATTTTGGGTGACCCAGTTTATGACGAAAAATGGAAGATAAGATGGAAATTAGTGCGATGTAGGCGAAAGAAGTGCGTGGATAGGTGTTTCCGAAGTGAGAAAAAGGCTTCGAAAAAATCGTTAATAAGGGGACCAGAAGAATCAAGAATAGTGGGGCGTTTGGACGAGCTACGCACAGTGCGTCATTGCGTACGTGTGGGTCTTGGAGCAAATAACTGACTACGGTAAGCAAAAATTCATTCACATATAAGCATATGTAAACAGAAAAACCCTAGTTACAGCAAAAATAGCTCACCTTTTCAGCCTCTCGAGGTGGGAAATTAAAAAAGGGATCGCGTCAGCAAAAAGAATATCAAAGGAAAAAAGAATGGCAGAAAAACATCGTCTCATCACTCGGCGATCAGCTGATTGTGTGTGTTGGTGCTAGAACGAATATTATCGATCTGTATTGCCTTGACACTCGTCTGACGTGACATCGATCGAGAGACGGGAAAGCCACTCAAGCCAGCAACAGGGCTTCCACTATGCCCTGACCGTCAAGATTTTGGAAACGAGATGGTCCTTTCTACCACCCATGGGGGCCAGCGAGTATTCCTTAGGGAAGAAATCAGTAACAATTTTTATCGTGAACCGTGAATTAAGTCAGTGTAACCGAGTGGCTCCGAAAATTCCTTTAGCTATAACTTGGGTAGGTTATTTCATTTCAATTTGAGGAAAGGACGTATATAGGACGTGAAAGACAGGAAGACAAACAGATATTTGTGTTTTATAAGCATAGTGTCCCAAAATTATCGACCCCAAAACTAAAGAACTTCTGAGGCAGAAATAATTTCTAGATCTCACTTCATTCGTTATTAACTAATTACACGAGCAAGTCTTCTTGCAATTTGCAAAGTTACCAAGGTACAATTCTTGATATCTTCAAGATGGCGAAGGCTGATTCAATGGCACTTGCAATCGTTTGTATGCAAGAGGAGGAAGGGCAGAGAAGATTTTTCTGATTCAAACAATAATTGAAAGGAAGCTATAAATCGATGCAGAGAAGCAGACTTAATCAAAGACAAACCAGGAAGAGATAGGAGAGCCAGTGTTTTTAGAGATAAGGGATAAGGATAAAGTTTTTGGCGTTAATCAATCCCGTCTGAGGGATGCGCCCCCGCACTCGACTTCCATTCAGAATCGTAGTGGCGTATGAGTGCGTATGTGGCCAATACAATGACTTGCGGTGGCCAGCCGATGTACAAGTCAGTGCTTTTATCCTCCCAGTCAAGCTGGTACCAATTAACCGACCCCGGAGGGATGGAAGGCTTGGTTGACCTAGGCGGGCATCGATCCGGGATTCGAGCCCCCGACCGTGCGTGTGATACAGTGCGCCACTTGCCACTACACCACCTCCGCCCGTTTTTAGAGATAGGGCTATCAAAACAGTCCGCTTGCTTGTCGATCGTAATCTCTGGTGACCTATCGAAAAGATGGCGACGGAGCAGGGCTGTTCGAGGTTGGCTCGATGGGTCGGATTGTCAAGCTGAAGCTTCATGGCTAATCCTGTCGTATACAGAAGTGCCACTTCATTTCCGTTCTCAGTCGATAAGCATTGTGGGGTCAAAACTTAGAAGGTTGCTA